AAGAGATTTAAATAAGGCATTGTATTTGTGTGAGTTGAGATACTCTTCATTGGTAGCTAGAAGAAGGTATCTCGATAGCCGCAAAAATTTCTAGTCTGTATAAAATAAGCGATAAAGATTCAGGTTGAATTGGTGTTTCATATTCTTTTTCAAATGTGGCTGGCATATTTAATCTGCTTTTTGTATGTGTCTAATATCTGAAGCTGGCCGTGAGTACAAAAAATTGAATGGTCGCGGAGGAACTGAGCAATATAAGTCGGAGTATCTTTTCCTCAGAGGTTATAGGATTCGGACAGTTACCGCACAATGAACCCAAAAGCCTAATAAATATTATCCAAAACGTGATTACCTCGCAAGGATAATTCACTTCAAGTATTACAAATAGCAACCTTTCTTGAACTCTGGACTAGATAAGCAGGAATCATAAAAAACATAACTTACCTTGAGTTTTCACTAGCTAAAACACAAAAGAAATGTTGACCAAACGAGAGCTAAAGTTTTCGTTATCTTTCGCTTTTCGACTTTCATTTTGAAGGAGGTTCCCCATTCCCCTGCTGCGTCGCAAAAACAATACGTCATAAACAAGTGAAACGATATGCGCATGCTCAATCTGTGTCTTATTGCAGGCTAAATGTAATTTTTTTAAAAATTCATTCAAATTTCTCTCCAGAAATTAGAATTTCTCTAATATCAAAGCCTAAGAACTAATCTTATCAAGAGAGGTCATTTTACATGTTTTGATATTTCTGGTTATCTAAAAGTAAAATTAAGGGAAATTATCTTGGTGGTACTCGTTGATATAAACAAACTTTGGCGTCCTTTCACTTCATGTCAGTCGGAAGCAATAAAAACGTTTCCAACTTTTTTTCGCATCACCAGAAATAACATATTCTTTACTTTAACCTAAACTTTCCAATAAATTAAATGTTGTTTGTTAATTGTAACATTCCTGAGAAACTACACAAATCTTTACCCTCTCTCTCACTACTAACCATTTACTGCCACAACTTCAGTTTTCTGCATTTGCAGCTGCATATTCAAGTTACTTGATATACTGCGAGGATCAGCTCAATTTGATAAACTTTTTACTCGTATAAGAGTATAAGCTTCACACAGTTACAACACAATGAACCCTGCAAAAACCCAATAAATATTATCCAGAACGTACATATTTCGTCAAACTTGATTCCCTCGTGAAGATTCAGCGTTATAGTATATTCTTAAACGCAAACTTTCTCGAACGCTCAAAACTAAGCAGGAACTAATAAATATAACTGTGAGTTTTCCCAAACTTACCTTAAGTTGTCACTAGCTAATAAAAGACAAAAGGAATGTTGAAACGATAGCTAAATCTTCTTACATCTTCATGGTCTTGGTCTACGCTTGGACTTTCATTTTAAAGGGGGTGTACCGTTCCCCTGCTGCGTCACAAAAGCAATACGTCATTTACAGGTGAAACGATAGTGCGCATACTCGAGGCGTGTGTCTTATAGACCAATCTCGTACACAGAGACTGCGTTTCTTCTTTTCCTTGATTCTTTTGATATAAATACATCCAAAAATACTGAGTTCCTCAGCGGCTATGCTCTAACATAGATTCCTAGATATCGTCCCACATTTAACAGCAACATTCCTAATTATTATTCGTAATATAAATATGGTTTCGATTCATAGAACTCCGAGAAGCTTTCGA